CTGCAATCTCCTAGGGAAATTTTATTTTATGTCAAAAGAAAAGTCTAGACTATCTCATGTGCCTTGCCTTCTGTTAGTTCTAACAGAACAAAAAATTACAAGCTGAGAATTTGTGGGATAATAAAAATCTTATCAGAGGAAATGCTGGCAGTGCTGGATGCCACCTCTAATCTCTTCATCATTTCCTTGATGAAAGATCATTTTTCAGAAATTTTTAAAGGGGAAGTTCACAGCTGCTTCTTTTCACCTCCATATGAGGGGAAAAGTCATGGGAGTAAACTTAGGAAATAGTCAATAGTCATTGTTACTCTGCCTGTGATTTGCCCCTGTGGATTGCACATTTATTTTTCTTAAGATTTATTTACTTATGCATACAAGAACTTGGGTGTGGGCCAGAGGTGGGGGGTAGAGGTGGTGGTGAGAGGGTTCACCAGAGACACGGTGGGAAGCAGAACAAATTGATTGACTGAGGGGAGCAGCAAGCAAGGCAGGAGAGGTCTACCACACCATGTGAATCACCTCCTGGCCAGGTATTGAACTCATGTTGCAGTGGCTGGTGATAGTTTGATAGTGCTGTGTCTTTAACCCCCTGCACCACCAAAGAGGCCAAAAAACTCCACGTTTTCAGACTATTTCTGAATTTAAGAGCTGGCAAATCTTATAAAAATGCAATAGGTTACCTGAGGATAACATCAGTGTCAATTTAAAGATAATATCAGTGTCCCTACTTTAGTATCAATATGATTCTTTTCTAAACTCCTTTGAAAATGACTGTTGCAATTAACAAACATTTACTTGTAAGAAAACCTCTAAAATACCAAATTGGGTCTGACTTGTTCAAGGCTGTAAGAACTTATTGCTGAATTTTTAAGAATTTTGTGAACCAGTTGTTAAATATAGCCATTAAATAAATGAAATGATGCACTCTTAAAATTTAAATATAATTGTAAAAAGGTAGTACTCAATCTCACCACTTTTAACTATTTTATTACACTTTATTACCACCCACATATCTAATGTCTCTATGTAGAAGAAGAACCACCCATGGGTATGCTATTTTGGATCTCTTTTCAGCTTGTGTTGAGTCATGTTGCCTTCGTGGCTTGCAACTGGCCACAGCGAGACAACATGGAAATTAACTCAGGCCCCAGATCAGTTGTCCCTTGCCCCCAGGAGCCAGTTGTTAAGCATCTACCAGATACTGACAATACTAGAACACTGTGGGCTGAGATGAATAAGTCCTTACTGCAAAGAAATTATCACCTTACTGAGAGATGGGCAAGCACTTAACTGTAAGATGTTTTATAAGTGATTACAAAATAGGGGTTAAAGGTATTACAGGAAAAGGATGAGATGCAATTAGTCTTGCTTGAAGTGTTCAGAGAAGGTCTCACAGAATAAACAATCTGACTAGACCTTCAACATTGAATAAAACTGCCCTTGGCAGAGAAGGGAAACGCTCTTCCAAAAAAAGAACAAAGAGTAAAAAGTATGAAATTCCTTAACATGTTCTGGAAAGAAATAATAGCTGAATATGTCCAGAGTAGTGTTTTGTAAACTTATCCACTTGGAACAGCTAATGGCAAAGAATGAATGGGTAATTCTGGTGATTAGAAGCTGCAGTTTGAAAAGGCTTATTTTAAGAAAAAATTCATTCATTTTATCTATTTCACCTTAAAATTTGTCATAAGTTTCCATTATGCTTAGTATTTTTTTTTTTTTTCAGCTCAGATAGTACTCTGTTCTTTCCACTAGAAGAGGAGGTCTTTTGGAATATCAAAATACTTAAAGATATGAGGGAAACATTAGTATTTCCTTCTAAAATTTATTTATATATATTTTACATGACTGTTAATTTTTGCACAATGTTTGCTTTCTCCTCTCAGGTACAGAACCCATAAAATTTCACCACCAATTCACCCGTGCACTATCACTCCAGTCTTTAGTGCTCTTCCTGCCCATTTTGGTCCCTCTCTACTTCTTCCACTGTAGAATGTCTCTGACCTATAGTTGAAAAAAAAACTAATACATAAAATAAAGGCTAGTATCTCTTATACATACACATCTCTGAGGACATAAGGATCCCCCAGTAATCTCCCCAGGAAGGAGACAAACACAGGCAAAGGTATAGTAGCAAGATAGAATAGGGTTAAATGGATAAAAAGGGAAGTAGATAAGGAGATTAAAGGAGAAATACTCTGCAGAATGACTCTCAGCCCTAAAAGCTACATGATATGTTTTCTTCATTCTCCGGACTCTAAATACATTCACCATGAGGTATCAGGAGAGTGTGTGGCTATATCTCACAATGAGATGGAGTGTACACACTATGAAGCTATTAAAGCTATTCCTTCAGGGCCTCTCATTTGTATGGTACATTCCAAGACAATATTTCATCTGGCCATAGGTTTTTGAAAAATTCACAAACCTAAGATATTTTCATTGCACTCAGTTAAGACTTTTGTCTTTTTATCTCAAGTTCTCTTTTGCCATACTGCTTCTTGGGTCAGGTACTGTACATTGTATGAATTTGGACAAATGTATATAATAACGTATCCTTCCTTATTATATTATCAGATAGAATATTTTCACTTTAAAAAGCCTTAGAGGGGCTTTCCCTCGTGGTGCAGCGAGTTAATAATAACGTATCCTTCCTTATTATATTATCAGATAGAATATTTTCACTTTAAAAAGCCTTAGAGGGGCTTTCCCTCGTGGTGCAGCGGGTTAAGCACAGCCCTAAGAAGCTAATGCCATTTCAGCACGAGTTTGATCCCCGGTCAGGGAGCTGACCCACATGGCGCAGCAGATTTCTCCTGACCCGCCCGCTACTCCCCTCAGCAGTGTACTTTGTTGATCTACCTGTTCTGCTCCCCACTCTTTCTCTGGTGAGCCCTCTCACTGCCTCTGCACCTCTGCCTGTATCCCTGCCTGTATGCATAAATAAATAAATCTTTAAAAAAAAATCCTTAGGGTTCCTCCTATTCATCTTTCTTCCATCTCCCAACCAAGCCACCATTTATTTTTTTATTATCTCCATAATTTTGCCTAGGATCTGAACCTGCCCCTGTAAGGTCCTGTGCATTTATTTCCATTCAAATGTCACAGAGCATAATAATATGAGTCTAATATAAAAATTGTTTCTGAACTTATTCACCAGCTAAACTACTTTTCTACACCATGGATAATTAAATGAAATTAAACTTGAAGAACATAAGTTGCCTGTCCCAAGGCTCTGTGGCTCAGAAGCACTGTAATAAGTACCTTAGTTTAAAAAGTACAACTGCAGGGCTTAGCATTCAGGAATGACTATGAAGCACTACAAAACAGAGGTTGAGGCCAATGCACTGAAGGGATTGTCTGCTGTGTAGAAGAGCACAGATTTCCCAGACAGACACTGATGGCTTTAAGTAGATCTTGTTTTAGAATTAAATTTGGGAATAGCATGGGGAACAGAGCAGGAAGTAAATAATTTGGTAACACTGTGAGCAAGCAACAGACTTGCTCTAACATCATGAATACCTGAATTAGGTCTATGAAATAAAAGGACAGGAGAAAACAGGCTACAAGTGTTATCAAAAGGATCAACAGCCCTGTGACTAACAGGATGTGGAAAGTGAGGGAGAGGGAGCTGTTAAAGATGACTCCAAATTTTCTAGCTTGAGCATGTAGAAGAAGAATAGTGCTGATAATGAAGTTCAAGGATGTAGCACAGCAGACTTTTCACAACTAAACAGTAATGGAAAACAAACTGGAATTACTGCCTTAGACTTTTTTGACAAACTTAAAAAATATATTTAAAACCCGTTAAACTTCTTTTTATCTGAGTATGTTGGTTTGTCTTTTTTTCTTAGGAAAAATCAATCTGCAAAGCATGAAGACAACAAATAGAAAAATAGTAATACGTCATTATGTATAAGTATTTTCTTTAAATGTCAATGATCTGAACTCCCCAGTAAACAGCACAGAGTTGCTGGTCACATTAGAAAAAGAAACTCTACTTTCTTACATCTACCGAGCTGTCCTGCAAAGTAAACCTACAATACAAAAGATAATGACACATTTAAAAAACAGGCAACAACAAATGCTGGAGGGGATGTAGAGAAAAAGGGACTCTCCTACACTGCTAGTGGGAATGCAAACTGGCCCAATGGAAAGCTGTGTGGAGGTTCTTCAAACTGGTAAAAATAGAACTATCATATCAATTCCACTTTTAGGAGTCTACCCAAAGGACACAAGAACATTAATTCAAAAAGATACCTGCACCCCTATGTTTACTGCCACATTATTTACAATAGCTAAGATTTGGAAATAACCCAAATACCCAAAAATAGATGATTGGATCAAGCAGATGTGGTATATATACACAATGGAATACTACTCATCAATCAAAAAAAAAGATAAACTCATGCCATTTGCAGCAACATGGGTGAAGCTAGAAGGCATCATGCACACACATGTGAATGTACAGATTTGTTATTAATATACTTTACTAATATACTTTAATAAGAATATATAAGACCCAGTTGATCTTGTCTCCTACTCATGGACTTTTGCATATTCAACATTTATAATGATACAGTCTTTGGTAGCTAAGGAACTGGTGATTTCTGCCATCTGTCACTATACCTCCACTTGTCCCCAACCACAGACTCTTTAAATAATGTGCCACACTCCAAATTTTTCACTGATTCTATTTTTTGTCAAAATGTTGACAGTGTCCTGATTTTTGCTAGGTACTTTTGTTTGTCTCAATCTAATACATTTCAATCATGCTAAAGTACAAATTACTATGAACTGTTTGATAAATCAACTCACCTGAGACAACTGCACTTATTAATAGCAACTAGAGAAAATAGAACTTAAGAGAGTGCAAAAAAGCAAAGGTCTTATTTGTCCATTCTCAATCACACCTCATCAACCGCTTCCACCATTATTAATAACACTGCCTGTGTACATTATGGCTAAGCAGACAAAGCGTCCTCTCTGAATGTACTCACAGGTCATTGTGGATGAGTCCATAGATCTGTGGCATGCTCATATGATAGATTCCTCGCAAAATAACTATGAGGAGAATCACCACAAAGGCTGGAAGACCCCAACTCAGGAGGAAAAACAGCAGGTATCTTCTTTCTGTGTGTTCATCGTTCATCACCAGAACATACCAGAAATTCACAGACTAAGGAAGGAAAGAGAATATAAAATGAACAGGCTCCAGCAGAAGACACAGACTCACCAGACTTAAGCACAAGCAATTATTAACTCACAGAGACTAGGTCCTACTTAATAATTACAGTTTTTATTCTTTTAGTTATGTGCCACATTCACACACTCAAGGAATTCAGGATACCTCAACAATCTGAAAACTGGAAATTATTCAGTACATTCATTGTACTTTTCATTTTAATTGACTTCATTTAATTTTAGTCATTTTCTTTTATTATTCTGTAAGTGCATTTTTTGAAGAAACACTGGTATACAAACATACTTCCAATATGAACTTCATGATGACAATAAAGTAAATATTCCTATTTTCCGGACTGTGAGACAATATTTACTTGTAGAAGGTCTTTCTCATGGCAGGGTGAGATATGTTCCAGGGAAAGGAGATTCAACTGTGAAGACTGTACCAATTCTAGTAAACAAAAACTGTATACTGTTCATCCATGTGACAAATACACAAGTAGGGAAGCAAATTTTAATTTCCAAACAAGTGGAAATAAATAACGAGACAACATATTTATTTTATATTTCCATCATAAAAATGCTATTTCCTAATATAAAAAATCTGAGAGAGATAAAAGTATACAGATAAAGGAGGATAAAGGGACATATTAATGGAATAAGAAACCAAGACCTAGGATTTTATTATTAGCCCTAAACCCATACCTAGTTTGTATCTAAGTCACACATAGAATTTATGTTTTCTACCTTCTCCTGTTCTCTTTCCATGAGGAGCAATTATGTTTAATTACCATTTAGTAAAGGAACAGCCCTGGTTGTTATGTCATGTACCTTTCATACAATAATATTCACTAGATATCATATTTCACATGATAGAGAATACACATGAATACTATGTATTACACACATATATTTTATATCAAAGTGTTACATATTACATATTAAGTGAGATATTATATACAAGTGCTGAGCACAGAGTTGCCACTAGAAATGCTACTACCTCCCTTTAATCCCTTATTAGGATAGCAGAGTGTGAAAGATAAAAAGCTTATAACCAAAAATAAGTGGTGATACAATGGAAACTCTTTCTATGTGAAAAATGAACATGGCTAATGTCCGTGGGAATCATATGCTCTTTACTAAAGCTTCCAAGTCAGATTCTATCTGGACCAAATTTAGCCTAGAGGGATTAGTATTGATTGGACTAAATCAGTAAAAGATAATAATGTTAGGTTACTTGGAGATTTTTGTCTATGAATTTTATTTCCTGTCAGCATGCCGTATCTTTCGTACATCTGCTATATATTTGTAATTACGGAGCATGTTCTCAGCTGTTGCTTATGTAAATTTGTTCTAACTTTAAAAATATTATCAGGCCCTCCCTGGTGGTGCAGCGGGTTAAAGCACAGCACTGAGAAGCTTAAGGCACTTCCGCATGAGTTCGATACCCGCCTGCCACGGAGGAGATCCACATGGCGTGGCAGACCTCTCCTGCCTGCCCGCTGCTCCCCTCAGCAGTGTACTTTGTCCATCTGCCTGTTCTGCTCCCAGCTCTGTCTCTGGTGAATCCTCTCACCCTCCGCATCTCTGGCCTGTACCCCAGTTCTATATGAATAAATAAATCTTTAAAAAATTAAAAAATATATATTATCAGATCCAAGAGTCCCCCCCACCAACTCCTTCTTCCAGTAATCAGTAAAGGACATGGGCCCACTTTTGTAAGACTGTATCAAGTAACAGAGGCTCTGGTGATCAATACTGTTTGTCAGATAATGAAAAGTCATGAAGTGAGGGTGATTAACCCACCTCCAAAATAAAAGTATCAATTCTCTATTTTAAATATGTTTGTGTACATTCATGTAATAAGGTAACTCAGCGATGTAATAGGTAAAAGAATTGGCAAGGAGAATAGATTGCTAAATGACTTCCAAGTGGATTCATCATGACATTGATCAGGACATTTCCAAAATGTCTGCTGTTACACACACATGTTCCATCCGTGAGAATGTCTGAACCTTTCAGTAACTGTCTTACCTTCACCACTGGCTCCGATAAAACTGACATAAATGTAATTGTTTGCTAGATTTATAAACGCAATGTTTCTATCCCAAAGAGCTCAATGCACAGGGTGGCTGAATTCTTGAATATAGTTAAGTAAAACAAGTTCCAAATGTCAAACTTCTGTTAGTCAAAAAAAAATCCCCTCTTTTTAAAAAATAGTCCCATTACTCATATAGACTCTAAGGACATTATTTCCTACTATATCTTTTGTTATTGTTGTGGAATTGAAATAATTTGTAATGGAACAAAATTTAATTATCCCATAAATATCATTGTCCAAACATAATATTTTCTTTTGACCAACTCTAAGTTTTACTTATTTAAACATAGTATGGCTGTTACATTTTGGGGTATGTGCCTAGGTCATGAATGTTCCTTCTCTGAATGCTGTCTCCCTATTTACCCTACTCCAGCCCACCCTATACAAAGGGAGACCCCACTCTGCTCCTCCTCTGCCCACAAAAACTGACCCAGACTGGACCTGCCATTCAGCACTGAATTCCTTAAAATTAGGTGAGTGTCGAAGCTCACTGTTAGAAAAAAGGTAGCAGTTAGGTAGCAGTTAGCTTTTATGCTGGGGGTAATCAAAAGCCTAGTGAGGACAGAAAACATGTTTACAGAGAAAGATGGATAAAGTCCACTTATGCTAACAGTCACGTGTGAGGGTCAACTTTTTCTAGTTCTTGGATTCATTGAGTTATTCTATATATATGTGTGTTCCTTTTATCATGTTTAAATTAGCTCAACTTAGTTTTTTGTTGTTGTTCCTAAGCTACACACACACACACACACACACACACACACACACACACAAGAATAAGTTTGTGCAGATAGCTGAGTTAAAATATTCAGCTACTGACTTTCTCTAAAAAAGAAGACAGTGGAACATTTGTCTACATTGCTTTCCTTGCAATCATGGTTCTTCCTTTATAATGTAAAGTAATAGTTTTAAGAGACCATCTTTATATAACAATTTTATGTTGACAGATACGTAGCATGTGTGATCTGTGTGCCTTAGTGTGTGATGATCAAATGTTGGAACTGACAGAATTATGCAAAGTCAGTATATGTCAAAGAATGTCACTTACTCTCACTCAAATAGGCTACAAGCAGCCTGAGCATGGCTTACCATTCACTGCCCATTTTACTTTTTCTTTTCTGCTGAAGACTAAATGTTAATAGAAAATTTAAGTATCTTATTTTCATTTTTCTCAGCTGTAAAAATTTTGGAAGAACAATTATTATGACTCACCTTAAGACACCACTACTATAAATTTATGTTGCATTAGTTATCAAAATGTTACGACTGACCAATTTAACCAGTGGTATCATTCTGACAATTATAATTCACATACATACACAGACATACTGTTTCTTAGCATTAATGTGAGATAGGTTCTGGAAGCAGATCAAAAATTTTCAAAAATATTTTCAGTAATGGAAAAATATCAAATAAGCCATTGTGAAAGGGTTAACTGGGTAAAATGTTCTGTAATGAGTTTAAAAATCAGTGTCACACTTAATGTTAACTCTAAACACTGTTATATTTGAATTACCACGTTCTTACCATCATCATTGCTTATCAGTGAAATATAATGTATTTGAATATTCATGCTGATCACAATTTCCAGCATGTCAAAGTTACTTGGGTGGTTGTCACTTAAGAGAATTTAAGAAAAGACCATTTTAAATAAATTTAAAGAAAACTACTTAAGGATATTTTTGAAATTTTTCTTTGTAAATACAAACACTGGAAATAAGGGAAGATTTGCAAAGGCACACAAAACACAACTGAAAGAAAATCTGAGATTACTAATGAATAATGTAAACAACAGTTTTATACAAATCTGAAAGACAAAGTGATTACAAATTTTCTGTGCATTTTTTGACAAGGTTCTGCAGGTATAAGCTGCAGCTCGGGTAAAAGGAAAGATTAAATTTTGTGTTATTAACAATTCCTGACTCACATTTTATGAACTAATTATTGAAGACATTATAATTCCATAAGAAAAGCTTTAATGGTATGGGTGCATAAAGTATGAATTTTAGCAGTAATACATCCTTACAGATCATCCGTTCAGATCCTTAGTACTAGAGACAAAGAAATCTGAGGCAGTAAGAGAAAAATAGAACTTTCAACATTCTGAATAGTAACGCAACTGGGCAGTAGAATACAAGCCCAAAGTGCCTGTGAGAACCAGTTAAAATGCATTTCCCGGCCCTCCCTGGTGGCGCAGCGGGTTAAAGCACAGCACTGAGAATCTAAAGCCGCTTCCACATGAGTTCGATTCCCGCCTTCCCCGGAGGTGACCACATGGCGTGGCAGACCTCTCCTGACCCGCCCGCTGCTCCCCTCAGCAGCAGTGGACTTCGTCGATCTGCCTGTTCTGCTCCCCACTCTGTCTCTGGTGAAGCCTCTCACCGCCCCTGAGCCTCTGGCCTGTACCCCAGTTCTGTATGCACAAATAAATAAATCTTTAAAAAAAATGCATTTCCATTGAGTTTCACATACATATGAGCAATATTGTTATTTGACTGACAGATTATTTTTCTGTCTTCATTTGCCTCCACTCATTTTTCTGTGTCAGTGGAGATGCATTTTCCTGCTGGAATTATGGAGATCAGCCTTTTTGTTCTCAATGTTTTGATAACACTGAATAAAAACTCAAAGGTTCTTCAGCATATAAATGGCTAAAATGTAACTGGGCTCTGGTAGATTAATTTTTTAAGCCTCATAGTACCTAGTAAAATGTTTGCATGTAATCTTTACTGAGATATATGAAATAAATGAAAACACACACAATTTGAGTGCTTAAAATATTTTACTGAATTTAACAATTTCATAGTATGGTTTAGTTGCTAAATTCAGTCATTTATATGCTACCCACCAGAATGAATTTCAGGAGGCTTGATAATTTTATTTGATTTGCTCCA